ATGATAGAGTATTTTCTTTAAGTTTGCCAAATGCAAATAAACTAGATTTTGTAACTGAAAAAAAAGATATAAAATAGACTTTGTGAATGTTGTAGATGGATTTAAAAAGAAAGCATCCTTATATTTTGTCTATTTTGAATTACTGACTCTTGAGTATACTATAGAGTAAACATATTCTGGGAAAATAAGTTTACTATGATCTCATCAATTTCTTTGTATGTTTCCATACTTCCTTCAAGTTTTGCTTAGCATGTTGTTAGGGACATAAAGAGGGATCACTTTCTTATTTTATTTGCAAATTACCCATATTTAGCAATATGCAATATTTTATTTGCAAATTACCCATATTTAGCAAAATGCAATAGCTCCCTTGTCCTATATAATGATCACCAATTGTCCCAATATCAGAGGACATTTTCAAAATGAGAATACTTTCTTGGACAGACATGTCAACTTAAAGTTACTCTGTTTTCAGTTAGGATGATTTATTGAAAACAGAAAGAATAGTGTTTAGGAAGCAGTAAACTATCATATTGTACTCTTACTATTTCTAGTTTTCCAGTTTTATTTTCTTAAAGTTTCCTAGTCTTTGTCCATGAGCCTTGAGTGTATTAGCTAACAACTTTGATCTTGAATTTCACCATACTAATAAACTGACTATACTTTTTTTTCAGTAATATTCAAATGTGGGGGCAGGTAGGCTACTTAGAAACTCTAAAGTCACCATCCTTATCATGATTTCCTGAAGAAATTATGCACTTTTAAAAACAACTTTTTATAAAATTATGAAGAGGCTTGAAATCCTAGTTCTGGGAGTTCAAGCTGGAGGGTGTGGCAGGTGATTGGTCCTCTTCTCTAGGAGAATCCAGCGGTGCTGCTGGGTTGACAAAAAGTTCAGAAATGTATCTGTGTCTCAACAATATTTAAATAGCTTTACTGAGGTATAATTTACATAGGTTAATGTTCACCTGTTAATATATTACTCGTAAGAATTTTTCCTTTTAAAAGCTTGAATTTTCCTTTAGTGAGACATAGATTAAGTGTGAATTCAAGTTCATTTTTACTACAGAAGTGTTTAAAACTCATAATTAAGAGAACAGATCAGTGTCTAAATATTAACCATTGCAAATATAAACATAAAATTGGAATGGTAACAAATGTCTACATTAAAGAAGAAAGAAGTACATATACCCTGAACATCTAACTACATCTTACCAAACAAAAATACATAATGATAATGAAACCATGCACATTTTCCAACTAAATGTTGTTCTTTGGCTGGTATATATTTTTTAGTTAACAACAACAAAAGAACATTGAGAAAATGGTGCTTGGCATATGACTCTCACATACAAGCACATTAACAAGCCTATATATCAAGGCTGACTCAAACTGAGCAAATACTTCTAGAAATTTCCCTAGTGTGTTTTATCCAGTTATTAGGAGAATTCAAAGCCTCAGTTCTGCCACATATATCCAGCCCAGATGCTCAAAGCACTTGATTTCACCCCAGGGCAAAATTCCATATTCAAGACTAGATCTAGAGCAGATGGCCACTCCACCTCTTCCATAATCTGGTTGTGCCCTACAAATAAATGAAAAGACTAAAGGGAACATAGATTCCACAACAGTACCAGAACAAACATTAGTACTATTAAAACTACTGATAATATTTATTAAGTAGTTTAGTGTACATGATATCTAACAAGCTTTGTGCAGAATGCATTGTGATTATTATGATCCACATAAGAACTATATTTAGTTATGAATAGCTCTTGCCTTTACAGTTTTAATCGGAAAAGTGGCTATAATTCTTATACAATGTATAAGTGTGTGTATCTGTCTGTCTAATCAATTCCTCAAGAATGTAATGAGCCTTATTGGCTGACAGTACTATAAGGAAATTATTGATAATGTTCCTGCCCCCAAGGTGGCTATATAATAAACTTGAAACAGAACAAAAATGAAAAAGTTTACAATTACATATTAATTGTATACACCATAACTGATGAGGAGATAACTATTCTCTTACCACTGCTATCAGTAATAATAGTTGATACTTACAGAGCAGTTCTAGTTTGTTAGGAACCATTCTGAACTTTTAGCTATGATGATTTATTCAAACCCTGTGCTCAGATATGCTCTTATTATTATTATAATCTTCTTATGGAGAGGGAAACTGAGGTACAGAGGATTAGATCAGTTGCCTGAGATCACAAAGCTAGTATGGAGCAGAGCTGAACTCTGTCCTCTTGGCTGCAAGGTTATAGGACAGATCCAGACAGAAGAAGGCCCTAAGCTAACTCAGAGAGGGGTGCAAAGACAGGAGGGCCTTCTGCTGGGAACTGGCAGAGACACGTCCAATGCGGGTAGGAGTTGGGGAACAGTGAGAAAGAGTAGACTCCAGAGGCAAGATAACCTTCAGTTACAAAAGGACTAAAATTGATGAAAAGATAGAAGATGTAATACAGCAAACCTAGAAGATGTAATACAACAAACAGAGGCTGTGCTGCTTGAGCTGGTGGTCCCTAAGCATCTCTGCCCAGGCCTAGGTCACCTGTGAAAAGATGAGAAGAGGCTGGTCCCCTTTTACTAAGACCCAGCTTCCTAGTCTTGACCAATACTTCTGTGTTTGGCTGCTTGTAGCCTTTGATTAAGAAAACTTAAAAAAGAGACATGATGTTAGTATCAAACATATATCAGCATAAAACACAATTAAAACAAATATCAAATTACCATTGGAAATTGGGATTTTTTTAAGTTGTAAATGCCAAACAAATAGGGATTTGTCATAGAGATTCAATTGTCAAACACAGGCAATGCTTCTATAACTTCCCTCATGTAAGTCTCTGGACCACAGGTGTACCTGGTGCCCTTGGAGGCCACAGATGGTTTCAGATCCCAGACTTACATATGTTTGTGAGCCTCTTTGTGGGTACTTGGAACTGAGTTGGGTCTTCTGCCAATGAGGCTAGTGCTCTTAACCACTGAGCCATCTTTCTAGGCCCCGTTAAAAACCTCAATTCTATTCATTTAGTTAACTTGGCAAATGAAGATTTGAGGTCCTACCCAATTGGGACCATGACTCAGTAGATTCAGGGCCAATATTATATATTTTGTTTAAGCATGGGAAAACAAATGATTCTGAAGTTGGTATTCTAAATGCTAAATGTCTTAAATCAAGTATAAAAATTCTGTAAAAATACTAAACATGAGCTATATTATACATTCTCTTGAGACAGGTTATCACCATGTAGCCCAGGCTGGCCTGGAACCCCCTATGTGTAGACCAGGCTGACCTCATACTTACAGAGATCTTCTTCTCTGTGCCTCCTGAGTGCTGGGATTAAAGGCATGGACTAATATGCCTGTCCTATACTATATTTTTTAAAATGTTATTCAAATTAAGGATCCATGGAACTGTAACAATCTCAAATTCATCTATCACTTATTTATACTTCATATCATTGTCAGTTAGTATAAACGACCAGTATGTTACCTTTAAGGAGCAATATGGCCTTTGAGTAACTAGCTGGAGTTAGAGGCAACTATGAACAGCCCAATGTGGGTTCTGGGAACTGAACTTAGACTCTCTGCAAGGCAGCAAGTGCTCTTACCCAGGGTGCCATCTCTCCAGCCAACTTAGTGAGGTGTAAATGAGTAATTCATACTATGGTGGGTCATGGAAAAGAAGGCAGTGACTAGTAATACAACTTTATAGAAAGGCATTTAAAATTTCATTCTATAAAGATTTCTTAAGTGGAAAATGCACACCTACTGAGGCAATATGAATGTCTTGAGTGTTCCCTTTCAGCCTTGTTTCTACATTCTGGAATGCTGGCTTTCATGCACTCTTCAGGGAGAGGACCAGAAAGCCCTTGCTCACCAAGGACTGAAACACAGAGGGAAATGTGTATAGGGGCAGCGGGAAAAGGAACAGGCTTTCTTTCCCACTGCAAACCATTTTAAAGTCAACATTGAAGGTCAAAAGGATTACCATTAAGATTTCACATTTCCAATGCAAACTTAATTTAATTAATTTGATTAGTGATCATTATTGCATGCCTATTCTTTTCAAGACACTATAGTACACTCTGTGGAAATAAAGATGAATAAAATATTATTCCTGCTATTAAGTAAATCACCATGGTTTAGCTAGCAGTGATAGATACCTACTAACTACATGGCAAACAGTAAAAAGCACTAAATGGAGTTATGGACACTTTATAGGGTGTTAAACAGGGTGGGACCATCATGAGCTCTCTGGCCTCAATGACTGCTGCTTCTGAAACCAGAGAATATCCTCAGTGGCTGCAGATAAGGGAGGAAGAGTGATGAATGTATCTTCCCCTCCTCCAGGAATCACCGCTTAGCAAGTTCTTTGTGTAGCTCATTCATAAATCTTTCTGGGGTTCTTCCAAGTTTAGGTAGCATCTAGATAATATAACTGAGCCATCAGTCATGCGCAGGCATTTTGCTACCTTTATGTTCTCCTAAGCCATTTGCTACTTCTCTGGCTATACTAATTCAAGAACCTCTTGGTTTAACTGAACACAGGAGTATCTTTGTCCTTCCTTGGATGATTTTATACCAGAGTGGAAATGATGTAATTCATTTAAATCTACCTTGATACTTGACTACTACCATTTCATTATTAAACTAATCTTAAGAAAGAAATACTAACAACAGGGTAAATAATTTAAAACTCAAACCATAAAATCTGTTACAGAGAAATTTTGAACATTGTGGCCCCCGAGGGAGGAGAAAAGGTTTTGTGGATTAGTAAAGCAAGAAGAAAGCCAGGAGCACCTGTAAACCTCATGAGGATAAAGGCAGGAGAACCAAGAGTCTGAGGCCAGCTGAGCTCTACATAGTGAGATTGCCCCAAAACAATAACAAAGACACGCAAGGAACTTGATGTTTCTACCAAATCCTCAGGAGGAGGACAACGCCTCTGCCCAAAATAAGGAGCAAGTGAGGAAGCTACCAATGACTCAAACCTTCACAAAGATGAGGAACTCGTCGATCTTTTCATTGGCTGCCCCCAGTTTCCTCTGCGCAGCTCCCAGGACCTGCTCACTCTGCAGCGCTAAGCCCTGGAGCTGCTCCGCTGCGGCTGTCTCAATCCTTGTCATCGCTGCCTCTGTGTCGTTCACTTTTGATACGAGGAGACTCAGCTTGAGATCCTGCAGAGATGGACAGTCACAAGAGAAAAACCATTCATGAACAGAGTGGGAACATCAGCTAGACAGATCCAACAAGAAAAGATTTCATTATTTCAGACTTGCCACTGACTTTTATTTGGGCACAGGTAATCCTTCCTTTTCTTTATTTTGCTAATACAGCACACTCATTACAGTCCAGCAGAGTCTTAGTCTCATGTAGTGAGACAGTACTCTTTAGAGCTATGTGGCATTTTTAAGTAGTTCATATTGATTTAGGGAGAAAAGAGTGATAGAATTAAAAATGAGAACAGTGTCACTACATTTGGATCTCCATCTGAATGCTTGGAAGCATACCTTTTTTTCTAACTCCTCCTTAGTTTTCTGATACATCTGTTCATACTGTGACTTCTCTTTCACAGCAACATTAAGTCTTTGCTTTAGTGAATCAACTGATACCTTCTTGTTGGAACATTCTTCAGTTAATGCCTTCACCTGCAGTAGAAGTTTAAAGGTAATTACTGTTAGTAAATGCATTATAGTAGTGTACTGTATTGTTTCATCAGAAACTGAATGAGTCTAATTGCATTGACTGTCTCATAGAGTTGATCAAATTCAAGTAGTCTATTTGTAGTATTCAAGTTATGAAGAAACTAGCAATTCTTAAGTCAATAACCAAACTAAAATGTATGATATGTATAATAGAATGATGACAACATTCTTTACACAGCTCATAGGATAACAGAAGAAACTGTTTTTCATTTTAAGTTAAACACCACAAAGAAATAATTATTGAAACAAGGTTTTTAAAGCTATATCTGAATGAGTGAAAGTAAAGTAAGGGGGCTGAAGAGATGACATGGTTAAAAGAACATGTTGCTCTTGCAGATGAAAAAGGTTCAATTTCCAGGACCCACACGACCGCTCACAACCACCTGTAAACTTCAGTTCTAGGGGATCTGAAACCCTCTTCTGACCTCCACAGGTACTAGGAGTGCATGTGTTACACATACATACAAACACACAGGCAAAACACCAATACAAATAAAAAATGTAAAGCTTTGTGAGTTGTGTAAATAGTATTTAAAAGAATTTTAAACAAAACCTTTTTAGTTTGGGGTCATATATTATACAACTACCTTAAAAAAATCCTCTACCATGTACACTAAATTAAGTCTGTGGAAGAAAACTTACAGTTTTTTAAGGGCATTTGATAGTTATTGGCATAATAGTTACAATGGCACATTAGCCTGATTCTGTCCTTATAAACTGTAGGTTTAAATAATATAAAAAAATAATTGGGCCATCATTATATACAATAGAAATGCTTGAGATTTAAAAACTAAATGTTTTCCTTCAGGACAGCACACAAACAGGCAGACTCCGTGGGTATACTATGTGTGGAATTTTGGAGTCTTGAATTCTGAAACAAATAAAAATGGCACAACTTTATAACTGTTAATATATATCCTGCAAGTATTTTACATTGTTGCCTAATACTGAATATGTATGTTAAAATTAGTACAATAGAAAATAATTTATCAGTGAACACAAAAAATTGGTACCTTTTTTTCAAGACTTTCTAACATTTCATTAAAATTCTCATTACTTTCTGAATTCACTTTCTGTCGAAATTTCAAGTCTTCAATCAGGTGTCTTTTCATGGTAATATCTCTCTCCAACCGAGACATCCTAAAGGAGAGAAGATTTTAACAGGGGCAGAAAATATCTTGATATATGGTATCCATGGTCATGCCCACTGTTAGTTTTGAAAAGCTGATATTGCCATTATGTTAGTAAAATAAAATTGCATTGAAATAAGTATCTAAGTATCATATGTTTATCAAAATCCATAATCTGTTTGTGAAATTGTTACTATTATATATTTGCATTATAGCAAAAGAAAGATTAACTGAGATCATTATAATTTATATAATTTATGAAAACTCCGATTATACTTAAATTACATTTTGTATTGCTTAGAAATAGTGAAGTGATACTTAGAGACAATCAAAATCCTAACAATGTTAAGAAACAACACTGTAATTTGGATAAAAATGTAAAAATTGTATAATATGCAAAGAAACTAAAATTAGACATACTGTTTAATTCTATCAGTTGAGACTGAATCCACTATCAGTTTAGTTGAAGACGGTGACTATTATAAAATGGTACCTTCAGTGGTACCCACAGCTGATCTTGGAACTATGGCTGATGATCTGAATGACAGAAGCTAATGCTGATTAGACCTTGTTATACGTAGCTGCTATTACAAATGTTTATGTCCTGACTCACTTATTCTTCAGAAGACCTTCGTGAATTAAGACTATTAGACACAAGCGTAGAGCAGGGGATGAAGGAGCCAGGACTCTGTGTTTTCCCAGACACCTCATCAGGAACCACTAAGCAACAGCGCCTTTGATCTAGAAACTTCAAGACATCTTCAGGTAAAATAAGAATTGTTTTTATTTGGCGGACTTGGAGAGAGGCTTTCCTGCTGTAGCCCAGGCTGGTCCCATTTTGTGGCAGTCTTCTTGCTTCAGTCTTCCTAACACTGGAATTACGGGCATGGGCCACTGCACTCAGCTAGCAATCCTCTGTCTAAGTTTTATTTATTAATATCATGCAAAGTAAAGCTTCACTTATAATTCTGCCTATAGGTAGGCATATGAGGAATGTATCAATGATGTGTGCTATCTAAACATATTATCACATAAAAGTTTTACTAAAGTTATAAAATAGAGAGAAAGAGAACCACTTTTGCTCAATGTGAGAGGGTATTTAAACTCCATTTAAAATGATATATACAAAAGAACCTCTATTTTTATAAGCCAACAAAACCTTCACATTTGACCTTGGCTTTATAAACCTAGGAATTAATTCTATACAAGTACCAATTGATATATTCTCTTAGTCTAAGAATTCACAATTGTAGGTTTTGTTTGCTCATAAAGCCATTAATTTGTATTTATTCAAATTATGCTAAGTGAAATCTAGTTTTATATTTTACTCTAATTAAAATAGCAACCAGATGCCGGGCGGTGGTGGCGCATGCCTTTAATCCCAGTACTCAGGAGGCAGAGCCAGGAAGCTCTCTGTGAGTTTGAGGCCAGCCTGGTCTACTGAGCAAGATCCAGGACAGGCACCAAAACTAAAACTACACAGAGAAACCCTGTCTCGGAAAAAAAAAAAAAAAAAAAAAAGAAAAAAAAAACCAACCATATTGTCATCAATTATACTCTATATTGATTTCCTTAAAATTCCATCTTATGTAGTCTTAAACATAATCTTGAGAGGCTAGAGAGATGGCTCAATGGTTAAGAGTACTGGCTGTTCTTTCAGAGGACCTGGGTTCAATTCCCAGCACCCACATGGCAGCTCACAACTGTCTGTAGCTCCAGTTCTAGGGGATCTGACACCCTTGTACAGACAGACATGTAAGGAAAACACTAGTACACATAAAATAAGAATAAATAAATCATTACAAGTGTTTAAAAAAAACCCTCATGATCTTAAAAAGTAAAATTCTATTGTGAAAAATAAATACTGGTATTGTTTACTGTAGTGGAATGGTAAGGAGATATGACGACCACTAGGTGGCACCAAATACAACAGATAGAAATATGGAAGCCTACTTTTCATGCATCTCCTTTATGTGTTCTTCTTTTGCTAGGAGTTCCAGTTTCAGAGACTTCACATTTGATGTTTGCTTAGTGAGTTCATTAGTTGCATTCTGGATTAAAATAAACATAACTTCAATTTATCTTTCTATCTTTATCTAAAACAAAAGGCATTGCTTTGAGAAAGAGTTGCACATTTATTTTAATTATGCTAATAATGACTAAAATGTACTTTCAATGTTGTATTTGATTTTTTTTTTATATTTTACAATAAAGATAACATATTTATAGTAAAATCATTATATGGCATGCAAAACCTTATTAGGAACATGAGCCATAGTATAGGACTCAAATATTTTAATGGGAAATATCAATCGTTGGAGTAAAATGTAATTATGTAATCAAGAGTCTTAAAGGCTCAGTAAGACAACTTAAAATGAATGACAGATTTACTCACAAACTGTAATTGACTAAATATGATCACAGATAACTTGCTGTTCCCCCTAAAAAGTATGACAGCTGTTTGCCAGTTGTTTGAATCTGGTCTCATCTGTGATTTGCTTTCACCAAAAGAACATGGCTGAAATAACACATGTAAATTTAAATCTGGGCCCTCAAAGCCCTGGGGCTTCTGCCTTTGCCTCCCAAGTGGTGGGATCTCTCTCTCTCTCTCTCTCTCTCTCTCTCTCTCTCTCTCTCTCTCTCTCTCTCTCTCTCTCCCTCTCTCCCTCTCTCCCTCTCTCCCTCTCTCCCTCTGCTCTGCTCTAAATATACCTGCCTAAAACATCCATTCTGTCCTTTAATATGCATATTGCAAACTTGTTTCTGAAGCATTTTCCATTGAGAATTAAAACAAATGAACTTAGGACTTTATTTAAAATGAAAAGCAAAGGGAAGCATGTAAAGTCTGATACTATTTTCAAAGGAATATATTCAGTAGATTTTAAGATAGTCGTTTGATTCCTTTCTGTTTTGAAACTTAGAGCTATATTTTATGTAGCTAAAAGTGCGGAATCCATGACTTGTGGGTAATGGAGGATTAATGAACTAAAAATGAAATGATGCCAGGAAAGATGTCATCTTTTCCTGGAAAGAACTTCCGTTATTTTAGCTCTTATTATCCACCTCTGTATCTAGCTCTGTGGAGTACCTTGAGGAAACATGCTTAATGGGGCAAAAGAAGACAGAGCAAATACCCATGAGCTCCACAGTAGAATGAATGAACCAGTTCCTGGCAGTATATAAGAAATTCACAGAAAAGAGCAGTGTTAGAGAAATGACCTGTGTAGACCTTTAACAGATTAAAATCTCAACCATGTTCCTAAACATCAGTTAGAAATTACTTAGTTTCTAGTTAATCACCATTAGCAGTCTGATATTTGTTATGAGTTAAATTATGTCCCCGTAAATTATATGGTGAAGTCCTCACTTAGTGCTTCAGAGCATGCTGCATTTGGAGATACTTCTTTAGAGAGGTAACTCAGGTAAAATGAGGCCCATATCTAATCTGAGGGGGGTCTTTGCAAAGTGAGACACAGGGATCTTTGAAGGAAGGCCATGTGAAGATAAAGGAAGAAGGTTGCTCTCTGCACAACAAGAAGCAGGGACTCACGGGGGAGGAAAGAGTCAGCACTTTGACCTTGCCCTTCCAGCCTGCAGACCTCTAAGAAAACAAATGTTTTTTGTTTGTTTTCTTGTTTTGAGATGGCGTCTAACTATGTAGCTCTGGCTATTCTGGGACTCACTGTGTAGACCAGGCTGACTTCAAACCACAGAGATCCACCTGCCTCTGCCTCTGCCTCTAGAGTCCTGGGCTTAAAGTCACATGCCATAGGTCTGACTGAAATGTCTTAAGCCGGCCAGCCAGTCAGTGATATTTTCTTATAGCAGTTTCAGCAAACGAACTTGAAAGAATATTAAAACAAATTTTGAGTAGCAGAAACTATTGTGTACTTGTTTCTTCCAGAAAAACATCTATACTAAAACATAAGATAAAAAATAAGACAGGATGAAAGCAAACATTTTCCTTTTTGTCTCTCAACAGCTCAGCTGTCCAAAGACTCCAGCATCCATACAACCAAGCTGCTGGATGCCTTCTCATATTCCACCTTTCTATCTCATGTTCCCTCTGAAACTAGACAGACATTTATTTACACACAGGTAAAAATTACAATGTAAATATCTTAGCTCACAGATATGGGGAAATTATGTTTGACCACATTTCAAATTTTAATTGTTGCAACATTTGTAGCAAGCAAAACCAAATATGTCAAATATAACTCAACTTAAAGCTATTACAACTAAACAAATGATATTGGCTCTACCATTATATTTTATCTTGGTGAAAAGTTAAATTAGGAACATGAATACTTAAACTATATAAAAGAACTGTAACGTAACATCTACATAGTATACGATTAAAGACAAGTGTATTGGTCCTATCTTCCGGTACATGAAGCCTAAACACTGAAACATTTAATTTATAAACTGTATATTATATTATATTATATTATATTATATTGTATTGTATTGTATTGTATTGTATTGTATTGTATTGTATTCCTGGGGGGAAAACACATTTTAAGAGAATGGACATGCTCCCAAATGTGTACAATTTTGCTTTACATTTCTAGTATGCATGTTCTCCACGTAAAAACTGTCTCAAGGTGATATCTAAGAAGCAGCTAAATTAATGCCTGTTTCATGACTAATTATTACTAAAGAGATAGTGTAAGCAATGGCTGGCCTACATTTTTACTCTATTTCATTCTACTTAAAACCCAGCTTAAACCATCATACTCTGGGCTGGGTGATGGTGGTATGTATTTTTAACTTCAGCACTTGAGAGGCAGAGGCAGGCAGATCTCCAAGTTCAAGGCCAGCCTGGACTACAGAGTGAGTTCGAGGACAGCCCTCACTACACAGAGAAACCCTGTCTTGAAAAACAAAACCAAAAATGTTGTCCTCTGGACTTAGAATAACTCTGCATCTGCTTGATAGTTTAGTGTCCTACAGCTTTTGTTACAGTCAGTTATGCTAATTATAAAGCACTCAATGCATTTACAGTTAAGAGTTTCCCTTCTAATGATGCTTATCATGGCAACGGTCCTATATCCACTGCTGTCAGCTTCCAGCCAGAAATTCTCACTGAAGAAAATTATTAAATATGTGAAAAATAATTAGTTTTTGTTTGTTTGTTTTTTGTTTGTTTTGGTTTGGTTTTGGTTTTTCAAGACAGGGTTTCTCTGTGTAGCTTTGCACCTTTTCCTGGAACTCACTTTGTAGCGCAGGCTGGCCTCAAACTTGCAGAAATCCGCCTGCCTCTGCCTTTTCCTCCTGGTTGCTGGGATTAAGGACGTGCACCACTACTGCCTGGCTAACTAGTTTATTTTAAGAAGCTATTTAAAACACATGGATCTTGTTTCCTATAATTCTATTTAAACAAAGGTGAGCCTTACTTTTAAGTTACTGACAAGCTATCTGGAGTTAGATATAATTATTTATAAACAAAAAGAACTCTCCTTAGGATTCCCACCTCCAGGTTATCTTGCTGTGGACAATTAGAACAATCCATCTTTGATTTTGTTGGTTTTTTTCTCCCCATTTCCAGACTTCTCTTTTTTGCATTCTGATTTCCAACCAATAACTAAGTAATTAAATTAGTAGCAAGTGTAGAGGAAAACAATTCTTATTTTGTTGATAAAATACGTTTGAAAAGATTCTGTTCATCTGGACCGAGACTCAGTGAGCAGCCAGGAGTTGAATATTAAAGCAGAAGCTAGTGGCTACTTTCCTTTAGCTGCTAAGGTAGGATATGGTGCTTTTGTCAATGAAAAGACAAAAATCCTAAAACAGAAAGAGAATAGACCTACAAGACTTGAATGACTAAGTCAGATGCAATATTCATGTTTTTGAAATCTTTTATCATGGTGACCTTTATTGAACTAAATTAGAATCAATTAAATATATTTTGAAGAATGCAGTAACTCATGAGATGTGTTTGTACATAGCATACTGTATAATCACCTTTAGTTTACACTGTAATTGCTTCATTTCCAAATCCATGCTTCTTGAAGGACCCAGTGTGGTAACTTGTATCTGTGGGGCCATTACTCTAGAAACTTCTTCAGCCAAGTTCATGATGTCAGATGAAGACTCCAATTTCTTCAGCAAATCTTCTTTTTCTTTTCGAAGTCCAGCCAAATCAAGAGTTAACTTCTTTAAAAGAGAAAGACATGGAAGTAATTAGGACCAATCTAATATTGTCAGTATAAATTGTACTGGTTGGTCTTTCTCATAGTGACCATTGCTTTGCTCTCACACACATGGGTGAGCCAGACACGCTCACACACACGGATTTGACAACTCTGACTTTGGGGTGACTGTACTTGGTAAGAGCCAAGCTGGAGCAGGACAGGATAACAGATGTTATGTGTATTCCACTGGGTAGATCTTACTATCCTCTGTAGCAGCCAAAACACTTCTCATTTAGCAACAGAAATGCTAAGTCCAATTAGCAGATGAGGCTTGTTAGGGATTTAGTTAAAATAAATAGCATGCAAACAAACTCACTCAGTTTTATCTACTTGATTGATAACGGATCAGCCATATTTGTAATGCCGAGATAAAATCACACTAAAGTTCCTACATCTTATATTAAAAAACATATTTTCACTAAATCATGTATTGGGAATGTTTCAAAGAATGAGTGAAAACAATCCCACCTTAGTGTTAGCCCCTGCCCTTTGTCAATCCAGTCAACAGAACCTCAGCAGGCATAATAGCAGAGCAACTAAGAGCACTGTGAGAGTAACTGCACCTTTTTCTTTTAAATCCCAAAGCTTATGAAATAGTGGTCTTACACGAGGAACAATTACACAAAATGATTCCTAGCTCCCTCTGAGGAAAAGTTCTTTCCTTGTTATGAATTCCAATTAGGAGTAGCAAATGACGCCTCAAGTAACTAAGTATATAGTAATATAAACGTGATATGCTACAATGAAAACTATTTAAGCACAACTCATAGAAACTCCGCCAATAAATTCATGATGAAATGTGTCCTTGTATATAGAAGCACACACTGTAAAGATGAACACTTAATACAATGAATTCACACCTAGAGCTTTAAAGACTTGACAAAAGAGCATTGGCAAAGAATGTTTTAGCTTAAAAACTATTACTTTGTCCATATTTTAGCCCATCATCTAATTGCAAGGTTCTAGAGATATTTCAGGACACATTTATTTATAAATTGCACCTAATAATCTGGAACTCTTCTTGGTATAATCCATGCTTGAATTCCATTTCCTCTCTACTGCTTCTCTATGTCCAATCCTGTACATTATGGAATACTTATTTATTTTCATTCTGTTCTGTCACTTACTCAATGCAAACATTTATATTCCACTGGGACTGCAGCTAGAATCCTCTCCCTGTGTTACCACAGGTTACCCCAACCTTCTCCTATCTTCTCTACTTTCTGCCTTCCTAAACCAACACTATTTATTACCTCACTGAAGTTCTACCAGGGCACTTCATGCTAACAGAATAAAGTTCAGCTATTTGTAGGTAATAGAAAATTTAGCTTCTGTTTGTGTTCCAGTATGTATCACCTGAAGTCTTGCCTACCACACCCCATCAGAAGCTCAACACAGTACTTAGATGGGCTACCTTGGGCCCTTAAGTACAACTTGTGATATTTTTTAAACAAAGATCTTTTTGCTTTTTATTTATCTTTTTACTCATCAAAGTAATGCTTCTATTCTCTTAGCTCTCACAGCAAAATGCATTGTCCTCATCTGTGAATCCTAGGAGATACTAATTATAAATAAGAATGGGTTCTACTGTTATGTTTTAATACATGTGTATAATGTATTTTGATCATGTTGACCCCCCTTACCCTCTCTTGTCGCCCCCCTCCCACCAATCCCCTTTCTCTTCCTAACTAGTGTCCCTTCTACCTTCAGGTCTTTTTATTTATTTATTTATTTATTTATTTATTTATTTATTTATTTATTATTTGCAACCGAGGGAGATTAACTAGCATTCCTCCTAGGGCTAGGGTTGATGGATTGTTGATAGATGCACTCGCAATTAACCAGTGGCTACACCAAAAAAGACAATAAATGCCTTATATATCTTCAGGGAAGGGCAGGATCTCATGAGCCCCTCCCCCTCCTCTGCCATAATGCTGGCAGGTCCAGTCTTGTGCAGACCTTGTCAAGAATGCAGTGTCCTGAAGACAGCTTTCTCCACCACTTGCCTTCAGTGGCTACACTCTTTCCACCCCTTCCTCCATGATGTTTCCTGAGCCATGGAGGGGGTATGGTCAGTTGTGAGTCTGCAATGTCCGCACCCACTCTAGAGAGAAACTGCTTTCACTAAAGTTCACAGCAGCACTAATCTCTGACAGTGAGTTACTCCTGCAGCTGCACTGAGCTGGGGTGTGTAATTCTCAATTCTCCCTGTTACTGAATCCCAGTAAATTCTAAATCCACAAGAGACAGCTGTGCTCCTGTCTACCTGTATGTTCATAATATCTAAATATGATGTCAGAACTAAACGACACTCAAATTTTCTAAAATTCTTTATTTATAGTACAAACTATACTATCAAAACAACATATCAAGTGAAGCTTTTATTTCTAATATATTGGCTTATCACAATACAAATTAAAACACAGTTACTGGTAATAATGGGATTTTACTGAGACAGTGTGTCCCAGAGTATTTTTAATTTGGATGCTAATGTTATGGATATAAATTAAACCTTTGGTATTTCTTCTTGTGAAAACATAACTCATGGCCACAGTTATTAGTGGACTCTCATGCAGTACAGGAGAGTTGGGTTCAATAAGGCTCTGTTCTTCCCACAAACAACCTAAGATTTTCTTTCATTTGTTATAGGTATAGGACAGCACAGCTCTGTTCCTTCTATGTTAGGAAATTCTAACACCATAAATGTGCCTCCACTGAAAAAAGATCAACCCAATAAACATGTTTCTTTAAAGGACCTGCATACATACATGTCAAAATCAATTTAACAATATAGAATGTATTAAAGGAAGAAGCAGTAAGATTATGGCGAGTATAAAAAGAACACTGTTTCATCAAAATAAATAATATTTGGGGCTGGGATGCATATATATATATATATATATATATATATATATATATATATATATATAGTTCAGTTGGTAGAGTCTCACAGGTATGAGGCCTGAGTCTGTTTCCCAACACTGCATCTGGAGGTTAGCATGTTTTTATTTAGGAGGATCTAAGTTGGAAGTCATCCTCAGCTACAAAGTGAAGCCAACCTGGGATATATGAGATCCTGTATTAATTCACACACACACACAAACAGACACAGACACAGACACACACACACAGACATACACACACACACACACACACACACACACTCACACACACTAGATTAAACAGTATTTAAAATTTATAGTCTAAGGCATATTTCTAATATTTCTTTTATGTAGAACTCTCTCAGAATTTTGAACAAATTACTTGGGCTGTCTTCTAACCTTTTCTCAGCTTAAAAATTCAATGTACATGAGAAATTCTATAGACAATTCAAAAAGTGGACATCAATGTCATGTGCTTATACTTCGTTTGTCCTGTGAGAATCACTTTTTAGGCAGCCTTGTTATAAAGACAGCATGCTATACAATCTGCCAAATAAATTAATGTTATCCTGAACATTGCTATAATTTTGTTATTAGTAGCATGATTTAATTTTGTTCTTGTCTTTTCATCTCTAACCAAACATTTAAAATATTTATGCCCATCATACTTAAGAGAATATAACACAGATGAGAGGCATAATTTATTTTAGTTCTCTAGATCTAATGCTACATATATGGTCATTTCCTCTTTTAGGAATAGAGATGAGACTTACCTATCTAATGAAAGTAGTTTTGAGGATAGAATTTTAAAAATCTCCACAAACTACTTCATAGACTTTAAATAGGCAGTATTAGTGGGAGCACTACCACTCTGTGGTTGCTACCTTCAAGAGCCTGGGGGTATGTTTTAAATCTGAAGATACAGATTAATAGAATTTGTTTTGCTTAGTGTGTATATATAATAATTCTATCATTTGTCTCAAGATAGAGCTTCAGTTTAGGAACCCTGTGAATTGTTTGCTTATTAAGGATCCACTCCTCTCCAAAAAAGGGAAACAAAACACTTTAAGTAACTGTAGGGAAATTGTACATCTACAGAAGAACTATTCTTAAGTAATGAATACTGTGGCAGATACAATTCTTAGATAATTCTAATGAACCACATCCCAACACTCTCCTCCTTGTACAGTGTTGGGGTTCGTTTATAAAATGGGCTAACACTATAATGGTTATATTGTTATGTTAATTATGAAGGGATTCTGTGACTGTAATTAGAGCTCCTAATCAAGTGACTGGCAGTTAGGAGTATCCTGACTAGTCTTAATCTAATCAGGTGAGGCCTCAGAAAAAGTCCATGGACTCCTTGAGAAGGTGATTCTCCCGTTGACATGAAGTGAGTTTCCATGTCAGAGAACTATGCATAGAGCTACTAGGAAAGAACCTGAGGGAGGTGAAGTAGTTACTCACATGTTGCTGGGATAAAAGACCCTTCAAAGCAACTTGAAGAAGAGCTTATCTTGAATCACAGCTCAAGGTTACAGTTAATCATGGGTGGTGTGCAGGCTAATTTTGTGTCAACTTGGTATAAGCCAGGGTCATTTGGGAAGAGGACACCTCAATCAAGAAAGCACCCCTACAAGATTGGCCTGTGAGCAAATCAGTATACAGCACTCTTCTATGGCCTCTGCAGCTCTTGCTTCCAGGTTCCTGCCTCAAGTTCCTAACTTGAGTTCCCTAGACAAGCTATAAGATTAAAGAACTCACTTCTTCCCCAGGTTGATTTCTGTCACGGTGTTTTATCACAGTAATAGAAACCCTAAGACATAATTGGTACCAGGTATTGGGTATTGCCACAACAGACCTGACCATATGTTTTTGGGAGGACTGTGGTAGCATTTAAACATTGGGCTGGAAAAGCCATTGAATTTTCAGAGCCCATTTGGTGATTTTGTTGGAGCTTGGAAGATAAGAATGTTGAGAGCAATGCAGACGATGGAGATCTAACTTGTCAAGTTTCAGAGGGAGGTTAGAGTCCCTTGAAGACTCAGTCAGAACTTTTCAATAGTCTGAATTAGTAATC